AACACTTAATCTCAGTATTCTCCGTGGGAAAAAGATGTATAGCACATGCCATATCTAGGTTGCCCAATGATGGAAAATCTTATAATATTGAATGGTTTCATGGTTTTCATTCATTACTAGCCTTACCACACTACCATCACCTCCTCCTCCCCCTTTATGCTACACACATACACTGCGCGTTTTTGTGTAAATTACACTTACCTCCCTTTAATTTATATATTTATTAGTATATTTATTTATGGTGATGGGCAAGGCTTTAGATGAATGCCATTAGATTTAAACCATTGATGATTTGAAGCTATGAGATCTGAGGGATCTAAAATCATTTCATTTCTATTGTGATTCCAACATCTAGACCTAAAGCCCAAATGGTGGTGCTACTTTTTGTGGTAGCTGGAAAAACAAACAGAAGATGAAGAAGGAATCAGTTACTGTAGATGGATCTTGTAGTTATTGGGTCTCTGTACTAATTCCTTATATGGTACAACTTGGTCTGAGCAACCGAAACCCATTGTTTGCCTGTGAATATGTTCAAGCTTTCCGGAGTATTAACATTTGACAATTTTTTTCTTTTTTTTCCTACTTGTCTTTATGTTTGTGGGTAATTAATTCATGTACCATTGAACTTACCTGGGAGTTTGGATGGGGTTTGTGCAATTGAACTGGTCTAACCTAATGGTACTTCTAAGGACTCAAGAAGAGTATAACTCTATGTGTGTGTAATGAAACTAGACATGTATTTGAATATTTCCCTTCAATTCCACAATATTGTATTAGTTGAAGGAAATTCTCTAATGAGAAAATGAATAATGTGCGTGACTTTATGTATTGATTTGTCTTTGCAGATTATTCTATCCGTCAAATTTGAATCATAACAAAATGCGTCTTTGTTCCAACAACCGTTGATGCACTATACGTGCAATTGAACAGGTATTGGAAATTTTAAGGACTCAATGTCTATCACTTTGTATATAAAATGAATGTGTGGTTTTTTCATGATGCATTGGCACGTTTGTGTAAGGATGTTTTTTTATTAACCTAAAATATTGTCCTTTGCTTTTTGGATGTTGCCCTTTCTTTGATCAAGAGCTCTTGCTTTGTGTTGAAATTCATCAGTAAATTGCTTTGCAATTTATGATTGAAAAGTTTTAGTTTTCTGTGATGGGCCCTATGATGGAAAACTCATATTGCAGAGCGGTTGCTTTGATTTTCATTAGGAGCGTCATCATCGCCACAACCGTCACCACCACCACCACCACCACCACCATTTATTATTATTATTATTATTATTATTATTATTGGCGGGGAGAGGCTTTTAATGAAAGCCATACGACTTCAACTATCAATGAATCGTAATAGCTATGAGATCTGAGGGCTTATCCTGTGTTATTCATTTACTATTTATTTTTTGTGGTTTTTGATTCCTCTTTCTGACTTCAATGGTAGTGGGTTTTTCCTAACAATTAATGTTTGTCACAAGCCTTCAACTACCACTGTCATCTCATTATCATCATAATTTGCTTATAATATCTGTTTTGTTGATTTATGAAGATTAATGGTATATTTGGTTGAGGGGAGAGGAGGGAAGGGGAGGGAAGGGAAGGGTGGATCAGAGGGTAAATAGAAGAATGTTTTCGTGTTTGGTTGAAGAGAAGAGAAGAGAAGAGGGATGTTTAATGGTATTGTCGCATTATACAGGGATGTTTAATGGTATTGTTGCATTGTACAAACTTAGGCAGATTTGTACGTTGGACAGTGTGTAGCTTTGTAATAAAGTTGTTGTAGGACCTGGAGTAGGTTACTTAAAAAATAAAGAAAATTCTATTTTCTAGTTTTTTGGACATCTTTTACATAATTTGTGGATTTAGCACTTGGTTTGGTAAATTAAAAAGTGTAAGTGTGTGTGTGTGTATATATAAAAAAAGTGTTAGTGTGTGTGTATATATATATATATATATGAACAACTGACCACCCCTTTAAAAGGAGGGCTTATTCAAGTTGGGCTATTGCTCATTTGGATTCTCATCAAAATATCATGGACCCAAGTAGATGTTGATTATCAAGGGTCTTGTGGCCAGTTTTGAGTCTCCAAAGTGGTGTATGAGTCCCTTGCTAATGATAAAAAATAATAACAATAAAAAAATTAGATGTTGGAATGTGAAACCACGAGGCAAGACATTGGAATGTCCAAATGTTTGAAGCCACGCCACAGAATGCCATGTGTCATTTATATTATATAGCATTGGTCAGGAGTGCTTGTTCAAAAATAGAAAGTATTCTAAAACTGGGAACACTTTTTCCGAGTAAAATGGTAACCCAAATATGCTCCTCCAAAGAAAAAAAAAAAAAAAAAAGAAAAAAAAAATTCCATAGTGAACGGGAAAATAATAGAGAGAGAAATAACCTAAGAGATTGTTCAATATTCTCTTTCCACATAACCTATCAGAGATTACAACCGCATCATAACCTAAGAGGACAAGAAATAATAGAGAGATGCATACAAAAAGAGAATCTTCAATGGTTTTCAAAATTTCCATGTGACATAAATCTATTCTTAATTCATTCCCAGACTTTTGGCTCGAGCTCGTCTTGCTAAGTCAAATGAGCTAACCTGATTCTGCTCAAGCTTCCTCAACTATAGACGAGCCGAACTAGAGCACTGATGTTGTTTTCCTGCTACTTTACTTTGTTTTTATATTGTCATTTGGCATAAATAATTATTGCATACCAAATGTTTGATATTATACTCCATAGAACATTGTCACACACATCACGACCAGTTTAATTCTAACCCAATCCGGTACTAATATATTACGCAAACTATGATCACCTGTCTCTACCACTGCACAGGACCCTACATCAATGTTTGTAAGAAGAGGCAGTGCTAAATTCACATCACTGGTGAGTCCTCGTGTCCTTTCAAGGGTAGAAAGTTTTTTCTTCAAAGGCCTTCACGGTTCTAGATAAGGACAAGGAAGCAACGGAGTCTTCATTGGTTAATCAGAAGGGTACTACTTCTGCAGACTATGATGACAATTCATCTTTCGCAATTGTTTTTGCATGGTGGACCTAAGACGGAGGGTTGCAATAGTGAGCCTGTTGATACATATCTAAAGGATCTGTACGTGCCTGCATTATTCATTGGGCAACTAGCAAGGTCGTTACTGTCGCACAATCCATTCCATTTCAAATCTGGTCTCAACTAAGAATGCAGCTGCTTGTGCCGACTAGGTCTAGCTCAACGAGCCTTGACTGATGGATATACCAAGAAAAGGGGAGAAATTGGAGGTGAAGCTTCAGATTGTACTTCAATCCATCATTGATAATGATGTTAATGTGAAGGTTAAGATTAAGCAAAGAAGAGTAAAGAAAGCCAGACACTCATATACTGGTTAGGAACACCTTTGCCCAGCCTGATTATTTCATTGGGTCCACCAAGAACGAACTTTTGGTCATGTTTCTCTATATTTGGATTATGGCTTGATTGCGTAATTTTCTTGAAGAAAAGTGTGAGAATTTCAGCGTCTTTGAGATGGCTGGCTGATGGGTGGTCAAAATTCAAGAGATAAACAGCCTTCCATTTTGTACCATTTCCTACCAAAGCAGCCTAGCTAGTAGGATATCGTTCCTACACTTTTATGGTTAGGAGTGTTCATTTCATCGATAAATTCGATTCAATCCATGAGTTTTTAGTCCCATGGTGATTCATAAATTATGAATATGTAAAGATCATATTGGATCACGGATTAGAGTCTCCAAAATCTAATCCCATCCAATCCATCAAGAATATTATATATATATATATATGGGAGGCAATATTGACACTCTATTTTTTCTTCAATTGTACTTTATTTATCTTTTTCTTTTAAAGGAAATGACAAGAAGGTCATTGAATCATCATTCCTTATAAATTTTCTTTTTCTTTTAAAGGAAATGACAAGAAGGTCATTGAATCATCATTCCTTAATTTATAATGTCATAATTACCCTTTATACAGTTTAAAATTTTTTTTTTTTAAGAAGGAATATTCGTATTCCACTTTTCTCCAATTTTACTACACTTATCATTTTCTTTTAAAGGAAATGACAAGAAGGTCATTGAATTCATTAATGCACTATGCCTTATTTTATTATGCCATGACTACCCTTTACACAATTTTCTATTTTTTTTATTTTATTTTATTTATTTTTAGTTCCTTTACTATTTTTTTTAAGTGCTATACTTTCTTTTATTTTCAGAGATCCTTTCAAAGAAGATAATTTATTTCATATTGATAATTTTATTTTTGGTAGTCATAATTTATTTAATATTGACTTTTTGTTTTTTTGGGTGCAATTAAAATAAATAATTTATTCAACAAAGTTAATTTTAATTTTTATTTTAAATCCTGTCAAAAGAGATAATTTTTTTTTTTTTTTGTCCCTTCAAAAGAAAATGATTTATTCCATACTAAGAGCCTTTATAGCAATATGTTAAAACATTATTTTGTATATACACTGCTACTGCTACGTATGATGTGTAAATTTTTATTTATTTTTTATTTTTAACAGTCTGTTAAGATGCATTGTCAGATCACCAATATATAAAATTATTGTATATTTTACATAATTTTTTTACACAGCCACATTCAAAGGGCATAAAATCTCGCTGGCCAAGTCTAGCCCGGCCCACCATTTAAGAAGGAAGCCCGGCAACCTCCCAGCCCATCCTTTCTCACACAGGGCCTGTCTTAACCTAGGAATCAACCCAAACAGAGTTTGGGCTCGTTGAAGAACGACTAGGCCCATATTATCTTGGGGGCTAGAAAATAAAATTCTGACAAATTAAAAGAGAAGGGATTACTCACTAGGCTTATTGAGTAATGCAATGTTTAAGTAATATCAATTTGTAATACTAATTCAATTCAATCTATATTATTTTATGAATGCAATTGAATTCAATTAGATTTAATACTTAATCCGACAGATCAGCTGTCAACTTTCTGTTGCAAAATCAAAGTGTAGAAATAATAATGCTAATTCATAAATTTAAAATTCAAAAATGAACTTTTGAAGAAAAAGAAAAAAGAAAAATTGTAATTGTCATAGTAGCCTTCTTGGCCTTAGGGTTTTGGAGGAAGCTTTAGAAACCAAAAATCCAACACCCAAGCACATGACCCAAATCCCCACATCGACGGCCCATCTCACTCCTTCCATCTCCGTCTCTATCTCCATCTCGTCTCTCCTATTTTCATCAATCTCGTCCTCCTCCGACCAACCTCCACCGCCTGATCTCATCTCCACTTCGTCCCCATTAGAGGAGCAAGAACAAGAACCACAATAACAGCCGTCTGATTCAGTGTCGTCCACTTCTCTCTCCTCTGGTATCTCCTCCAACCCCTGAAAACACTTGACCCTCCTCTTCCTCTTGACCACCATCTCCACCGTCTGAGCCATCGCCGCCGCGTGTCCCTCCGCCGCCACGCAAACCTCCGCCTCCTTGACATCCACTCCGACCAAGTCCCTCTCAAGAACACACTTGCAGTCCAATTTCCACTGATCATCGTCGTCCTCGTCTTTCCTGAAAATCCCCTTCAACAGCTTCTCGTCTCTCAAGTAGACCTCGAAGCGTACACCTTCGCTTGCCCGAACCCGCTCTCTGCTCCCGTAAATGGCGCCTGAATTACCTTTGCTAACCGTGTCGGCGGCGGCGGCTGACGATATGAGTCGGTGGAGCGTAACGAAGGCGGGCGAGTCGGGTCGGATATTGGAGCCATCGACGTCCAACGGGCTTTCACTGATGCGAGGGAGGTAATAGAGAGTGAGGGAATCGGGTAAGGTTTTTGTATGGGCATTGGAAACGGATAGTCGGAGATAGAAGTCCTTGATCTTCAGGCGATCGTACTGCTGAAACCCTCTGCACATATCTTTTGGTTGGATGTTTCGTCTGACTTACAACGATGAGATGATGATTTCTACTTCTACTGTGCGTGTGATTGTGTGTGTATATGAAGACGATATATATATATATATATATATATATATTAGGGATTTATGCGATGGAGATGAGAGACGCCATGAGGCGGAGCGAGCTACCTCGGTTTTAATTGGAAATCAAGGGGTGAGCTGGATCTGAGCACACGGTTTTTTGGTGACGTGGACAAGACGACAAGACGGTAGTGGCTTTTGGCCAACAAAACAGTGTCTAGAATTGCCGCGTGTGAGGAGGCTTCCAAGACATTGCGTCCACTTGCACCCAGCTGTTCCTGTTTTGATATTTAGTCCAACTCTTGTTTGCTCATTGGGCTTTCTGTTCTTGCCCATATCATATTGTAATTTGTAAATTACTACTGACTCGGAAAAATTTTTGCTTTAATTTTTATTTTTTAAAAACACACATGAATATATATAAATATATAATTGTTTTCTTTAGAGACCTGCTTGACTATTTTTAATTTAAATTTTTCGGTGAGAAATTAAGTGTCGTTTGTTACGATTGATATCAGATTTATTCTTTGATTCGTTTGAGATGCCCGAGTCCAAGTATAATAAATCGATTTAGCGCATGCAAAATTGCAGCTCTTGTCTTGATCAAGTCCCAAGTATAGTGAATGTTAATTAGAAATGCATAACTATTACTTTAATTGATGGTTGATATCATCTCCTCTTAGAGTTGTAGGATGCATGAATGTCGCTTTATTTTGACCGTTATTATCATCCCCTTTAAATATTGTAAGATACATGATCATAGAAGAATATACAGCCACACTATTTCACGTCATTTTAGTACAAAAATGGCATTATACATTGAATAAAGTTACTGAATTTTATTTATTTATTTATTTATTTATTTGTATTGATGGGGGCAGTTTCTTTTTGGCTATGTGTTGTGGCGTGGTTTGGCATTAAAGATGTGTCGCCAACAGTATTCACACAACTTGTGCAACATTAGTTTCCGAAGATATTTGTGTTTGTCTATTAAGAAACCAGACTGTTACGTTCCACATCACCACCTTGTTTTTACTTGTGTTGGTGGTTATAGGGTCTGTTTGGAAGTAGAGTACCAAGAACTTCTTTAATAACTTTTTTTTTTTTTTTTTTTTTTTTTTTTTTTTTTTTTTTTTTTTTTTTTTTTTTTGTTTCTAAAAAGAGTAAGGTTCTTTTGGAAAAATGAAATTGTGACTTTGAAATTAGAATTAGAGGCTCCAATATTATTTGGAATTAGAGGCTCCAATTATATTCCAAATTTATCAAATTCATAATTTCAATTCTGAGATAGGAGTGAATATTTCAAATTCCAAATTTAAATACAACCATATACTAATGAACATGAACAATATTCAGATATAAATATATTACAGGCACACATAAACATAGACATATATACACGAGTGTACACAAATATATTTACACATAAATACACATATACAAACACACACACACACACATTGGTTTGTGAATATATTTATGGTGGTTGTGACAAGGTTGGGAAATTTTTAAGCATGTCTAACTTAATGTTCAGAAGAAGAATAGAGGAGGGGAATATATATATGTAATATTGATATATATACCACAGGACAAGCATGTGGGGGTGCCAGGCATGATTTGTGGTGCAGAAGAAGAAGCAATCCAACATGAAAATTTATTGGAATTCTTGAAGAAAAAAGGTTGATCCGTAATTCTCATTTGTCCATATCAAAATATATTATGTGAAAATGTCATCAAATGCTTACTATAAGCTTCAGCACTTCCAAATCAAATAATTTTTTTATTATTTTTATTATTATTATTTTTTTTAAAATTTTAAGCAAATTATACATAATATTAAAAAGTAATTACATAAGGGGCCATTCGGCCAAAACACAACCCAAAAGGGAAACAAGGCCCAAAATACAAGCGGCCCAACATGGGAAAGCCCAGCCATGAAACCAAACTAATAACCGCGATTAACGGCTAATTAGCTGTTAAGTGAGGTTGTTATAGCTCAATCCGTTGTGAAACCCTAGCTGAGGATAATGATTGATATCATCATCTGAGTGAACTACCCGGCGGTCTTGGAGGAGGACGGTAGTGAGCAGGCGACAAATTCCAATCCCTGAGAATTTGCCTTGAAGATTGATTGTCTTTCAAGAACCCTGTTTTAAGCAAAGCTGTGACTGTGGAGGTGATCTTTGCAAGCACCACTCTCTGTGTTGATTTTTTCTTTTTGAAGATCCTTTTGTTTCTTTCTTCCCAAGTATGGTAGATCACGGAGGAGAAACATACTTTCCGCAGCAGGTTCATGGGTGAGTCCTTTTTCCACTAGGTGCTTATGGAAAGGATCAGGTCCTCCCAATTTGTAATTATAGTACTGAATTTGCATTTGTATTTGATAAAGCGCCATATTGGGGAGATGAAATTGCACTTGAAGAATATATGTTGGTGTGATTCTAGGTGGTTTTGGCAGAGAGCACAGATATTTTCATGGCGGGACATTGATTTGCAGTCAAGAGTTAGAAGTCTAGATTGGACTGCTAGCCATAGGTTGAACTTCATCTTGGGTATTGAGGGGGATCTCCACAATAAATTGTGCCAATGAACTTCAGGAGAGTGCTCTGCAAGATGGCTTGTTGTGTGCTTGAGGCTGTAGGTGTCATTTGGGGATGCCATCCAAAGGGGATTTTTTTTTTTTTTTTTTTTTTTTTTTTTTTTTTTTTTTTTTTTTTCTAGAGGAGCATGGAGGGGGAAGTGAGAGCAGCTCTAGGATGGCATTTGTGAGGCCAATGGGAAAAGACCAAGATGAGTTCAAGATGAAAGTATTAACTGTGACTATTGTTGACCCTACGGATTTCCCTCAAGGGCAATCTAGTACTTTTGATGATAACAAACCATTAATGATGTTCAATGTACTAATGTCTACATTGAGCGTAATTCTAGATTAAGAGGAACATTGTGAGGAAGGAAGGACATCTCAAAAACAAGATCTCTTCCAAAGCCATTGGAGCTGAAATCATATGTCAATATCTCACCAAGGCAAAACACAATTGGCATAAGGTAGTCCATGCAACTTAAAAGATTAGCAAAACCTATTTATGGGGTAGACAGGTTGGTGAGTGGCTTAGGAGTAAAATGTAAAGAGTCTGTTATCATTTGAAGCTCGCTCTAAGGTCGTATATCATTCATACACTTCAAACCATCACATACACATTCTGAGACATCAAAGAGCATCAAGAAAATAGACTCAGTTAGCTCAGCCGACTCAGTCTGAAACTCATGTTACAACGGCTAAGACAAGGGTTTACAACGGCTATTGACTCTGGAAGAGCTCTATAAATATCCTGTGATAAGTTTGCTGAAGGGTGGGTGCTTGAGCCTTAGTTTACTGCATGTTATTCATACAATCTTGCTGAGTAAAAAGTTTGGCTATCCTCCATTCATTGATTCTCTAAGCTAAACTTCAGATATTTCTTCTCTCACACACACTTACTTCATTTAGAGTGAGTGAGCTTCATTTGTATCATTTGATTCTCTAGAGAGTGTAAACTGTAATTTCAAGTTGTGTGACAGAGAGAGAAAGAGAGATCTTTGTAATTCACTTCTATATTCCTTTGTAAGACTAGGAGAAGGAATTCTTTTAGCCGAGCTATTGTAAGGGCTGGTTTGCGCGCCCCTAAGACTAAGAGAGGGTGTCTCTTAGCTAGAAAAAGGAAGGAACTGTTTCTTTCAAGGTTTGCCCTCCACCCGTAAGGAGGAGCCATATTGGATTGGGAAGTCTCAAGAGGGGTCTTAAGCCGAGGAGTAGGAGTTTCCGAACCTCGCTAAAATTGCTGTGTCTATATTTGCAATCTCTCTTACTCTTCTCTTTACATTACAGTTTATGTTTATTTGATGATTTGTTTAACTTGATTTTGTTAACTCATTATTGCATATCAGCTCAAGTAGTTAGAGTTAGTTTTAAATCACATTTTCATAAAACTTTTAATCAGCTATTTTTGGACAAGGACTCTATTCACCCCCCTCTAGAATCCATTCTTGGGTAACAAGTGGTATCAGAGCCTAAATTCTATCTATATGACTTAATCGTCTTAGAATACGATCATGTCCAACATTGGATCATTGTCTTCCTTAGAAGGTCAGTACAGCAATCGACCTCCCTTATTTGATGGTAACGATTTTAACTATTGGAAAAATAGAATGAGAGTCTTTCTTGAAAATGTTGGCATTGAAGTTTGGGATGTCGTTGAATTTGGAAACAATGTTGCCACTAAAATAGTAGAAGGGAATGAAGTTCCCAAACCAAAATCCGAATGGGATGCAAATCACCGTAAACTAGTTCAATGCAACTCCAAGGCCAAAAACAATCTCTATTGCGCATTAAGTAAAGATGAGTACAATAAAATTTGTGATTGTGACACGGCCAAAGAAATTTGGGACAAACTCATTGTCACCTATGAAGGAACTAGTCAAGTTAAGAATACCAAAATTCATAGACTTGTGCATCAATATGAACTCTTTAGCATGAATGAAAATGAATCAATTAGTGAAATATTTTCTCATTTTACTAACATCATTAACCCCTTGAAGAATCTTGGTAGGATATATCCTTCTTCCGATCATGTTAGAAAGATCTTATGGGTACTTACAAAAGGATGGAACTCGAAGGTTACCGCTATTCAAGAAGCCAAAGACATTGAGAAGCTACCTCTAGATGAGCTTCTTGGGTCTCTCCTTTCATATGAAATCACCATGAAGGACCAATCAGCAAAAGAAGCCGTTCAATCCAAGACTACCGCCCTCCAAGCCTCCACAAATGAAGAGGTATCTAAAGATACCATTGAAGATGATGAAGAAATTGCCCTTTCCACACTCTCTTACAAAAGATATCTTCAAAAGAAGAAATACAATAAAAGAGGCAGTCTCAGAAAGAGTTCTTCATCATCATCATCACGTGGCTCCTCTCAAAAGGAGCAATCCACATGCTTTCATTGTGGAAAATCAGGGCACTTCAAAGCTGATTGCTTCCTCTATAAAAAGGAAAAGGAGGAAAAATCCAAGAAGAAATCGATGAAAGCCTCGTGGGAAGAT